ATGAAGTTATAAGTTTTCACTAAATAGCCAATCATTGGGCGCCATTGAAAAAAAAAAACTTAATTGCACTGTGGTAACCACAATCCCAGAAATATTGGTCACGCCGTAACTGGAATTTCCTGTAGTGTATTTCGGTTCAATAGACCATTTGATGCGATAGGGTTCTCAAATCCCCTAGTGTTTCTCGCTGGCGGTACTGATCCCACCACCAGAATCTGGGAGTTTGATACCAAGCACTGGTTACTCGTTGCTTCCAATTACATCGATCCAGTTATACATCTCAGATGTAGCCCTTTTCCATATACCTGTGAGATGGTTTTGTGAAGCTGACACATTGGAAAAAATACTTATATAGTTAAAAAATTTAACACGCTAGTTTGGTCCGAAATCCCTTAATGTGAGTGTTGTGTTTTTTCTCATTGATTTTGGGATTCCGAATTATTTGATCTATCAACATTAAAGAGTAACTATTGATTACATGACTGTCCAAATTAAATATTTTTGCTAAATATTTTCCATTACATTTCAATGTTTTTTCTTTAACCAACAAAAAAAATCCCACATTTGTTTAATTCTTACTTGCAAAATGTATTGTAAACTTTGATCGGTAATGAGGAAAATATATATTTTTTATTAGCATTAGGTTTCATTACAGTATACATATTATATATACTTGCATATATATAAATAAATAAAAAAAAGAAAACAACTATAGTTTAACATTTGTAATTTCACACACAATACACTATAAATATATATAATATGAAATAAATTAATTATTATTATTATGATTACCACTATTTTGTTTCTCATTATAATTATTATAATTACTATTTATTATTATGAATACAACAGAAACAAAAAAGAAAAATTAAAAACAAAACAACAACATTAAAATGAAAAATTAATGAAACAGAAACAAAAAAACAAAACAAATAAATTTATTATGTAGCAAAAAAAGTGTTTTCTTTACTAAGGTGGGAGCTTTGAAGAATTCAAGGAGAATGTTTTCATATGTCAAACGGTTTTATAAGATTTTCACTGTTTAAAAAAAATTGTCAAATAATATAAATAATTTTTTTCTTAGAATCGCCCGTTATATGTTTAATTAGTTTATGAGGTACCCAATTCACTATTTGATACGGCTCCATCTAGTGACAAATAGACACAAATATATTGCTAATACAATGTTTTCACAGGGTGGGTATGTGTCAATAGTTTTTTCGAACATAACTAATACACTTATTTCCGGTTTGTATTCGCTGCATATACAGGGTTGTATTTCATTAAATGGTTGAAATATGTTTTGGGAACGAAAATGTCAAAATCACTCACTCACCTGCTTCATAGCCTTCGAATCGACTATAATGGCGCGAATTATGTATGTACCTAAATTGTACCTAAAAAAAAGTTAAATATATTTTACAAAAAACCAATAAATATTGATACTCAAATAGTTTATTGTATTTGGTTTTTAATTCTCACTCAATTCTCATTTGTGGAACATAGTTGCAAAAATAGATTTTAAATTTGGTACTTTTTCAATTTTCGACTTCGTCTTCTATATTGAATTCTTCGCAGTTGTCGGTATTACTTCACGGACATTCTATCGGTTCACTACCTTGGGCCACTGGCTTAATCTTCTAGATCGGGCTATTCACCAATATCGATTTCTGTTTATCGGTCATTTATATTTAAAACAGCGTCAGAAAACCTTTATCTACTGACTTAATATCACAACATAAGCATTACATTTTTACAGCTTACCCTTCCAGCATTCATATTTTTGGCTTTTCTGCATTTTCCGCAAATTTTCTTTTATTTAGCTGTACTTTCTTTTTTTCTCAGCCTATTCTCAACCTCAGCTCGATCTACTTTTTTGGGAATTGGAAATTTGTCTATATGGTATCTCACTTATCTTCTGCAGCGTCTTATTGATAGCAGAGACAACCCTTTTGCGTGCCAACTCATCACGTTCAGTCTCACCTGCAAAATCTAACATAACATCTTCCCAGTTGATATAAATTACTCCATTTTTACAATATCATAACAACAGAGCAAACCCATCTATTGGAATTTATATTTAAGCTAGTTTATGGATTAATATGAATTCCATATTCGATTATGGGTCAATCATCGGGCGCCACTGAAGCGATTTTCGCAAAATGTCGGTCCTCCTCCGAAGAAACCTAACCATACGAAATTTTCTTATCTAATTCAGGTTCGAGTTTGAAAATGATTTTATCTAATTTCGGTTAGGATTCATATAACACAATTTGCGTGGCCAACTCATCACGTTCGGTCATTGCTACTTGACGACCCATCTGAAATTTACTTCTCTAATTATACCTTTCACCACACTGTGGTACAGGGTATTATGTCTTTGTGCATATGTTTGTAACAGGCAAAAATAATCGGTTTAGACCCGTGGTTCCTTTTGAGAATATGCATAGAATCACTTTCTGAGTCGATTTATGCATGTCCGTCCGTCCGTCCATGTATTTTTGTGAACAAAGTACAGGTCGCATTTATGATCCGATTTAGATGAAATTTAGCACATGTCACTAATTTGGCCCAAGGACGAACCCTATTGAAATTGGAGAAAATCGGTTCAGATTTAGATATAGCTCCCATATATAATTTCGTCCGATTTAATGTAAACGGTCCCTATATATCTTTCGATTTGCACGAAATTTGGTATAGCCAACTAAATTAGGTCTAGAATGATGTGTGCTGAGTTTCATGAAAATCGGTTCAGATTTAGATATAGCTCCCATATATAGTTTCGCACGATTTTATGTAAATGGTGCACCAAAGTCCTTGAAAATCATTTGATTTGCACGAATTTTGGCATAGCGTATTGAATTAAGTCTAGAATGACGGGTGCTAAGTTTCGTGAAAATCGGTTCAGATTTAGATATAGCTCCCATATATAGTTTCGCCCGATTTTAGGTAAATGGTATACCAAAGTCCCTTTTTATCTTTCGATTTGCACCAAAATTGGTATAGCCTATTGAATTAGGTCTAGAAAGATGTGTGCTAAGTTTCATAAAAATCGGTTCAGATTTAGATATAGCTCCCATATATAGTTTCGCCCGATTTTAGGTAAATGGTGCACCAAAGCCCCTGAAAATCATTTAATTTGCACGAATTTTGGAATAGCGTATTGAATAAAGTCTAGAATGACGTGTGCTAAGTTTCGTGAAAATCGGTTTAGATTTAGATATAGCTTCCATATATAGTTTCGCCCGATTTTAGGTAAATGGTGCATCAAAGTCCCAGCTAATATTTTGATTGGCATGAATTTTGGTATAGCGTACTAAATTAAGTCTAGAATGATGTGTGCTAAGTTTCATAAAAATCGGTTCAGATTTAGATATATCGTAGCTTCCATATATAATTTCGACTTATTTATGTTAATTGTACACCAAATAATCAATAGGTGTCTGATTGAGATAAAATTTTAAAACGTGCCGCATACCGAATAGCGTGTGTCAAGTTTGCTTTAAATCGATTTACTGTGCCACTGTGCGCAAACGACTAAACTTGACCAAATGAAATGAAATTTAGCATAGTTTCCAGAAAGACATAAAAATCACATATTTAAGTTCGTTCAATTTCATGCCAAAATTCCTTCAAAAAGGCGACGTCTTTTCGAATATACCCAAAGTGGTGAAGGGTATCATATAGTCGGCTAAGTCCGACTTTACTACTTTCCTTACTGGTTCAAGTATGGCCTCAAAACAGGTTTGATCTAGTTCTAGATTTGATTTCTCACATAACCTTTGTAGTACGTTACTGGCATTGCTTGCTCTACTCATCTCGTTCGGTTTCACCACGTGCTTCGAAGAAGTCAAACCTTCCGAAAGTCGTTTCTTAAATTCAGGTCCTGTCCCTAAACTGATTTCATCAAATTCATAAATTTTTAACTATTCTTACTGGCTACCATTTGCTGGTCAATTCATGATCTTCGGTCTCAGCTGTTGTCCCCCCGAAGAAGCTAAACCTTTCGAAAGTTACTTCTCTAGTTCAGGTTTATTATCGAAACTAGTTTTTTTTAATTCAACAATTTTTAACCTTCACGTTCGGTCTCAGCTGTTCAATGGTCCTCATCGGAGGACGCCAAACCTTTCGAAACTTGCTTCTCTAATTCAGGTAAGGTCTTGAATCCAGCGGTAGATGACTCATTTAAATTTAGGTGAGTCAGTGAGTTCATCCGACTCACATCTAATAATATATCTCCAATCCTTGAGTAGATGTATTTGCGGAAGGGTATTCTTTTGGATAAATAATTTTAAGAGAATTTATTTTCGCTACGGGGTTTTACTGTAACTCGGATTCAGATTTATATATTCCACGGATATACCAATAATGGGGCATATTCCAAAATATGGGTCTATATCGATAATTATCTACAAATCCGATTTTCACCCCATATGAAGTTTCAGTTTTTTTCGAAATTTTAAAGGTTTTCCTTTTTTCCCACCGAAGTGGCTGTAATTTTAAATTCCGGCGTTTTGGAATTTATTTTTTGCTGTCATATTAAGGTCCCGCCCCATGATTCTTCCCATACAAAGATCAAATGACATTTATGGAAAGTTCTAGATTAGAGCCAAAGTTTACATCAAGAGTTTTCGCAGTTAGGTATTTTATTTTCTCCTGGCAGACATTTACAATGATTTAGGCCCGAACAGTTTTAGGTATTTTAAATCTTCACCTGATGGTGGAACATATAAAAAGTAAAATTAATATTATTAATAGTTTAATTTAAATTCATTTTATTTCGAAATTTGAAATATTTTCCATTTTTTTTAATACAATGACAACTTAATCAGTTAACATATTAAGAACTTATAAACCCTACAAAAATATATACACATATTATCTTAATCATATCAAAAGTGGAGGATCAATTATCTAAAAACTACTACTGGTATTATGCGTATTTTCAATTCGATTCAATTTGTTCATATATATACAAAAAAGTTTTAAACTTAAAATCATAAAATTTACACATAGAACCAGTCACGGGGTACATGTTTCAGGAACTGATTGGTCAATTTGCCAAATTCCATGGCTAATTTTTTGTGCAACTGAGGTTGCATAGCTTCGAGGACAACGCGGACATTTTCACGCAAGAATAAATTGGTGGCTTCAACTGCAGGGAAAAAATAAATTAATTATTGAAATAATAAAATAATATAAAATTTTTAATACTCACGTAAAATACGATTATTGTTGAAGGCATTTGAGATAGACATACTGGCCTTTTCCACATCCAGGGTAATGCTGAAGGCATCTAAATGCAAATAGGTTTTGCCATTTCTTACTGGTGTGGAAACCTTGCCGGTGAGATTGGCCTTGCAACCCTCTGTAATTGAAATGGAATATTTGTTAGAAATAAATAATACAAAATTTCGATTAAAAATATGTTTTACTTACCAAAAACGGCATGGAAATCACCACCACCGGAAGCGGGAATAATCAGCAAAACACCCGAACTAATATATTTCGATTCAATTTTCAATTTGGGCATAATAATTTGTGCTGTGAAAGGTTCACCATTTTCACTCAATTTCATTGATTTCACATCGAAATTACTGGCACCAAACACTTCCATATCTCTCAATGTGATTTTATAACCTTGAGGTCCATCGGTCAACTGCAGGGCCAATTCACTCATGTGGAAGGGTTCAACAGAGGGTACCTAGAATAAAATCAACAGAAAATTTAAGTTTAATATAATAATAATATAAAAATATTTAATTTTATTTTTAAATTCATGGAGGTCGTTATGTATTAAATATTCGATTAAAAATTAAATAAAAATACGTATATGTCTTTCAAGAAGGTTTATCGGGTTATAAGGTTATATCGACAAAGTTTCTCGACTGAGAGGGTCATCTCCCTTTAACGTAGGGAGCTCGTATAACTCATATTTCGAAATATGGAAAATCGGATTCCTTGTAGATGTAGTAATACCGGCTACAATTGTTCATGACATTCAGAATCTCAGATTAAGACATCCTATTATATAATTTGTTATATTCTTCACACAAAGACCGGGGAAATTGATCACTATTAACGGTATTCCAGTTATTTCGCCTAATCGATATCAAATAAAGGGCAATCCTTTATTCCGATATTGTCGTTATAACCAGGCAAATCGCGGTGGTTATACAAGATTTCGACTGTACTAAGAACGTAATATACAATTTGTTATGACATGCAGAAATTCTAATTTAGGTTCAATTTCGAAAAATATTTGATATAATCCTCTCATTTTTCAACCTCAGCATGTTCGGTCTCAGCTGCTAGAACGTCGTCCTTTCGAAAGATGCTACTCTAATTCGATACTGGTTAGATTTAACTCTCGATGTGTTCGTTTACTAAATATTTATAACTCGTACTGGCATTGGCGACCATTTGCCTGGCCAACTCATCTCGTTCGATCTCAGCTACTCCTTCTCCGAAATTCATTTTTCTAATTTAGATTCAGCCTCGAAAAAGGTTTGAGCTAAGTCTCTAATTTTTTAGCCTTCCTTACTGGCATTGGCGACCATTTTTCTGCCATACTCATCAATTCGGTCTCAATTGAAAGTTACTTTTCTTATTAAGATTTGTTTTCTTGATACTGGTTAGATATAATTCTCGATGTGGTCTCTCAATTAAACGCTGTGGGTCGTTACTGACTTTGGTCACCATTGGCTGGCTAACTCATCATGTTCGATCTCAGCTTCTTCTGCGAAAAAGTCCTAACGTTTCTACTCATATTCAGGTTTAGTCTGACGTTGGAGACCATTTGCCTGACCAACTCATCACGTTCGATCTCAGCTATTTCTGTTCCGAATAAGCCTTCCGAAATTTACTTTTCTATTTTAGGTTCAGATTCGAAAAAGATTTCATTAAATTATTGCATTTTTTAACTATCCTTACTGACATTGACGAACATTTGCCTGGCCTACTAATCATGTTCGGTCTCAACTGCTCAATGGTTCTCCTCCGAAGAACAAAACCACCAAGGTGATTTTCTAATTGAGATTTGTTTTCTTGATACTGCTTAGGTATAATTCTCTTAATTTTTGTAATTCGTTACTGGCATTAGCCTGGCCAACTCATTATGTTCGATCTCAGCTTCTTCGGCGAAAAATTCCAAAATTTCAAACGTTGCTTCTCCAATTCAGTCTTCACTTTTAATCACTCTACAATTCTACAACGGAACATTTTTCAATTACTACCAGGGAATTATTTTCAATGTTTATTTTTGTACATAAATTTATTCTACATAATGTCATAGTACTTAATAAGCATCCGATTTAATTTGAAAAATATATCTTCAGAAACCTCAATATCTTCTTTATCTGGAAGCAAATGTCTGAGATCGATATACATTGCTTTAATCTATCCACGTTTGTTTTCGGCTAACAGTTCTCCTAAATCGATAAAATTCCTTCTCATCTAATTTGATATTTTAGGTTTAAAAGGATACATTAGAGCGGATCAAATAAGTTCAAAGTATTCAGCAAAATAATGTTGGTAATAGAACCAGTTCTTTTTTCATCTAGTTCTTTTTGCTCGTTCAGATTGTAGGTGTACAATTTTATTCGAAGTTTTAAGGAGTTCATAATGTATCTTTGGAGTTCATTTTTAGGGCCAACAGCATACAAAGGACTAGTTCAAAGTAACTATTCTCTAAAAGGAGCGACCGGCACTAGTTCTCTTCTTTTGTTCATCTAGTTCCTTTTGATTATTTCGTTTAGCTTGTGGGTGTATCCATATTCGAAGATATTATTGTATTTTCGGAGCTGATATTTTAGGGTCTGAGCATACAATACCGTGGGTCGTTCCGGAAAGAACTAGTCCAAATGGGCAATTATGCAAACGAAGTGATCGGTGCTAGGTCCGACCCTTTTGTTCAGCTAGTTCATTTTGCTCCAGTCATCCATTGTTTGCTCCAGTTCACTTTTGTCCCAGCGGTTCATTTAGATCTTCCCGTTTAACGCGTCCCATCTAAACTACCTACATGAATGACATAGTACCTTTTGCGATGACAACCGAAAAAGATCGAACCGCAGCAGGAACGAGATTGACTAACTATGGCATACCCAATTGCAGGCTATGCAAAAGGCACTAGGTCGTTCCCTTTTTTCCTTTTATTTCACTGGCACACTACAGTTCGTTCGGTCAATACTGTCGTTCATGCTTCTTCTTTGTTTGCTTGAATGATATACAACGTCTAGTTATTACGCGGAATATTTCATTTATCAATAAAAGAAAGAAACAACTAATGTTACATAATCTGATACATATATGGGTTGGTGGAGCGAAATAAGCAACGGGTGCAAATAAGGCCGACGGATCAAGAGGAACTAGGATAACGAGAGCAAAGAGTAACGAGCGAGCAAAATGATCTAGGTGCACGAGAGCAAGAAGAAACAACTGGAGCAAAATGAACTAGTTGAACAAAATATCCTGACCTAGTTCCGATCGTTCCTGGATCGGAATATTTCCTTTGCAACCCTTGAGAAAAAATGTTTAATGCTTAGAGCTATCTTCTTTGCGAAACTTTGAATTCTATAATAACCACTATAATTATTATGTGACCCTTTAGATGCTATAAAATACAATCTTGCATATGTAGTAGTAAACGAATTTTGTAAATTAAATATATTCGTAGTATTTAAAAGTGTGACTGGCGTAGTACTCGGTAGATTCCTGCCTTCACGTCCCTCCATAATCCGAACAATGGGGTGTATGTGCTCCTCTCGTCATGAGCTTATATACAGGTTTTAAAGATAATAAAATTCAAAATTCTTCCACAACAGCCATAATCTTACAATAACATTAAAAATTTCTGATCATTGCAAATAATGTAATAACATACTTCTTGCATCTGCAAAAACTTAAATATGTAATTATTATTTGGCCATAACCTGGCTGGCAAAATAATACTGCATTCAAGTTGTGTTAACACATGTTTGTTAAAACGTACTCATTTAAAGAGTTTAAAGACCTATGAAGGTTTTTTCGGTTCTTTTTTTTGGAGAATATGTTTAGCATTGTTCTGTAAGCTGGCATATGAACCAGAACCTCAAAGTGAGTACCAAAACTTACATAAATGCAGCATGCGAATATGCTATAATTATAAGCTTGATTTTAAATAGATTGCAAGGGTTACAAGCCAGTATTAATGATTGGAACAAAGGAACAAGATGGTCGAAAGACTTCTACCAACACAGAGACTCAAAATTTTTAATAAAAATGTGATATTAAAATTTGCATTTACATACAGTGTCTATTTCTGAAATTCATTAAATAATATAATTTTTTTTTCTATTAAAAATATTTTATTTATTCGCACTTGAACTTCTCCATTACACCTCGATATGTACAAACATACAATTTTCCTTCCCAATTGCCCGAAAGAAGAAATACCAAAAACATCAAACAAAATTTCACAGTCATTAAGACAGCAATTTCTGGAAATTTGACATGTAATCGATTACAAAACACATTGCAAGTCATGAATGAGTTGTGTGCCGTTGTTTGTTGCATGAAAAGTCGTTTTTGCTGTACCTTGCACCAGTACTCAGTTACTAAGTCATTGTGCTACTGTGGTGTTGCATTGGGAAATTGTTCGTTGCAGGTTGCAATAAAATGCAAGCTTACAAGGTGTCTGCAATAAATTGAAATAAGTCAAGTGAACGTTGAATGGAAAATTCAGTAAAAGGAAGCCAGGGAAATGTGGTGGAAGTAATACTTGTGGAAAAGTTTTATTTATTTGTATTGCATCATATTTCCCAAGAGTAATTTGTATATGAAAACATATAACGAATGTTTGAGGAAACAAAGAAATAATATAATTGTTTAATTAAAGATTTGATAAAAAAAATTGACCTACGAAATAGGCGATTCTCATTTGGGGTTTTAGGTATAGCCGCCATATATCGGCATGCCGAGTTTCTGTATTTTGTAGATTTTATTAGAGTTGTTCTATCTAGTTCAGATAGCTGATCGCTCTTTTTAGTTCAGCTCTTTTGACTGAACTAGTTCGGTCTTCCAGTTCAATCGTTCACAATTAAGCTCTTTTACTCAGCTGTCGTTTTACTTCGGTCGTTCTTTAAATAGTTCATTGCTCTCCGAATCTTTCTTGGAAGACTGTGATATGTGAATAAAAACAAATTTAAAATTTTGTTTTTTTTTATGGCGAGGATATTATATAGAAACATTTTAGAACAGTTTATGGGGATCTATAAGGTGTGGATTTTTAAAGAAAAGTTTCAGAATAATTGAAAAATTACTTGCGAGCATAAATGATAGGCAACATATTTCACATGTTTGCTAAATGAAAGCGCTGTTAATATCACATGCAAAATAAAACTCGATCGGTGCCCTTCCATTTAGAGAAAAATCGAACTAGGTCAGTAAAACGCTCACATTTGGACTAAAAGGAACATTTATTCCAGTTCATTCTTTTAACGAACTAAAAAGAACGACTTTGAAAGACCTAGTTCAATCGGTCTTTTAAGTGAATCGTTCATTTGAACTAGTTCGTTCGTGAATTGTATAACTCTAGATTTTATACGTTTGTTAATCGAATATTTCTTTTTTACATTGGGTAGCAAATTTGCATACCAATATATATGAATATTTGCCAATGGTTGGATATAACGTGCACATAAGGGTACCCGCATTATTTTGAAATCTTAGGAAAATTAATCATTAAAATTGGCTGCAACTTAGTATTATTTTGGTTAGAAAGTATCTATGGAAAACTAAGTTGGCAAAGTTCCGTAAAAAATTTAATGGACCTTTACCTAGTATCCGAAACTACGTACCTCTTAAAGAAAACGATTTATTTATTAAGTAATCCTCTTCGATTTTTATGTGAAGATTATAACAAATATATAATAGGATGTGTTGATCCGAACCTCTGTATGTCATCGAATAATTTATATTACGTTCTTCTTAAGGACAAAAGAGAGACTAATGGAGCAAGTGTCACGAAATTTAGCATGTATGTTTGATTCAAGCCAAAGATATCAACTATCGGTTACAATTTAAGGAAAACAATAGACCAAAACTTCAATTATGACTGTTTTCTAGTCGCTCTTAAAGCCACAATCATGAACCAAACGTCACAATATTTTAAAAGGAGATGGAGTTTTGTCGAGTTGGACAATCTTATTCACGTAGCGGAACGATCTTTCTCGTTCCTTTTTAAAAAAGGAACTAGTTCCTTAATGTAGTTCCTTTGCTCCATATAGTTCCTTTACTCCATGCAGTTCTTTTGATCTTTGCAGTTCCTTTTCTCCACATAGTTCCCATTCGTAAACCGTTCCCTTGAATCTCTCACTCTTAAAACAACAATTATGAACTAAACGTTAAATGTAGAGTTGAGCAATCTATTTCTCGTAGCGGAACGATCTTTCTCGTTCTTTTTTTAAAAAAGGAACTAGTTCCTTAATGTAGTTCCTTGGCTCCATATAATTATTTTGGTCTTTGCAGTTCCTTTTCTTCATATAGTTCCCATTCCTACACCGTTCTCTTGAATCCCTCACTTTCATCGTTCCTTTTGTTTTGCTCACAAAGTTCCGTGTTGTTTTGTTAATAGAAGAAACTGAAAGCTAGTTCCGATCGTTCCTTTCTCGGAATAGTTCCAATGAACTAGTTCGTTCCGAAATTACCCAACTCTAGAGTTGTGGCCAACGAATAACCATGGATCTGATGATCGATCCACATTTTGAGATTCAAACAGACTCTGTATTTTTTAACTTCTTCATTATTACACTAGGGAGCGCAAATGTCACGAGATTTTGTTCATATTCGCAATTTAGCACCGCTAAAACGTGTCTCGCTGTTCTCGAATATCAATGCAATTGAAATACAAAAAACTCGTCAATATTATTAATGAGTTAAAGTCTTGACAGTTTGTCAAACTGTCTGTCAAACGAAAAAACAGAATACAACCGGACAGTATAAAGTCAATAATAGTCGTTCAAAAACCCGCACTCTCTTAAGCCATATAACATTCCGAGCAGGTTGCCGAAATTCTAAGAGTGCATGGATGACTGCAAAAATATTAGAAAAATAGCTTCACCATTGATTAGTCTCTCGGATATAATGAATAACAAACAAATTTTATACTTGTATTGCTCTTTTCAGATTTTTTTTAAATTATTTTCAGGTCCACAAGTTCTTGCTTAGAAACGAAAGATATACGATTGCTTCATAACGAACCTAATCATTATCCAGAGTATGAATTTGCATTTACATACAGCGTCTATTTTAGTTAAAATTTAACGAACCAACTAGAGGATTTTGTTTATAAAAGTACCTTACGATAAACGAAAATATTGCTCCTCAGATATATATGTAAATATTGAAAGCAACAAAAAATATCGTTTTGTCAATTTTCTAAAATTTATGAGTATTCCTCCATGATTTAATCTTTCAAAGTCGTCATCAAGGCAGATTTGCCAAATCTGGTTTCTTTAAAATACAAACGCTAGAATCTATTATCTTAAATAACCAATTGTCTACGACTAAATTTCATTGAGTTTCTATGTCAAAACGATTGATTACCATTAACAAATTTTGATAATCAATTTGTGGTTAACAGTAAACTTGACTTGAGACTACCAGCTACCGTAAATTAGAAAAATGTTGATCCAACAACCTTTTTGGTTAGGCAGAATCTAAAAGAAACCAAAACAAAAAGATAAATAAAAATCCCCTCATATTGTGGGGGGTAGGTATTGAGAAAACAAGTAACCATCAGAATGACCTTTATGGGCTCACCAAATCGTCGATTTTCGCATTCTCATAAATAACGATTAATTAATATTCATGTAGCCGTAGAAGGGCACAACATTTAAATATATAGAAAAGAAACGTCATATGCCGTATAATGATAATGTTAAATGTTTTTAAAGCGTGAAATAGCAAAAAATACGATCATTTAGAGAATTGATATTGTCATGCGATTAGAAAATACGACATACATTTCTATATGTTCACGTGATTTTTAATTATTTGCAAAAAACTAAAACCTTGTTAAGTTCTGAAGGGTAGAAATTTTATTATCCTCCAAAATAAGGTCGAAACTTAAAATAACTAAAATCGATCAGGACTTTTATAAGGGGGCTATACCAAACTACAGATACTCAGGTTGGAAAATTGGTCTACGACTTTGAATATACCGAAAATTTCGAGTGACATTTGTGTGGGGCTATGTAGAAACGTGGACTTATATTGAAAATGTTCTGTAAAGAATTTGGTTATCCATCAAGGTTACTGAATGTCAAATTGCGACCACTTCATAATAAAAATACAAACAAATTGGTGTTGTCGAAAATGTGGACGGATATTGATAATTTAACTAAAATAATATTTTTTTTATTTATTTACACAAAGCCATATTTGGCCAATTATTATGAATACATTATGCGACACTATACTATACACTATATATGACACTACTCTAAAAAAACAATTCGGTACCAAAATTTTAAAAATACTGAATAATGGAGGAACCTTCATCTGTAGCCTCCGAAACATGGGAAAATACTGATTTTGTTGTAGAGAAATCTGTATCCAATCGAAGAAAGCTCCTTGGGTTTCAATGAGGCTTGCCCCATGTTGGGCGCCAGTGAAGAAACTCGAAACAACAAGATTTACAATAATGCTGGCTACTCCTTGTTTAGGAACTACTTCCAGCTTATGATCTAGTCCATCAACTTGGGCAAGCGTGGGTAATGATCTTAAGCCTCCAGTGTTCGCTAAACGAATCAGAGTCGGAGGGTCCGGAATCGGAGTGAAGAGACTTTATTTAAATTTGGGCTTGCTTAAGTACTACATTTGAGAAGCAAGATTGTAATCTAGTATTGGTTGTATAAACATGTAGTAATATCAGATATGTAGTTTTTGGTACTATTTACTGACTATTTACATAAGTAACCGTTAATTTCAAATATTTAAATAAGTGTTGCATTTTAGTATTAAAATGATCAATAAAACGTATGTGTTTATACTGTAGTAATTAAAATTTGAATAAAAATAGAGTTGATCCGCTTCACAATTATACATTTAAAATACCATAATTTTGAAGGTAACTAAAACGTGCACCAGTATTGATATTTTTTGCCAGAAAGATTTGACACCCTATGAGAACCCAAATGCCAAATTCGAAGTGTGGAATAATAAAAAAACTGTATCTTAAATATTGCGAGCTCTATCGTGATTTCTAATATGGGGTCTCCGGTGAAAGCTTCGTTTATAAAAATATATATTTATAAATTATATTTTATAAATTTGTACACTTACCTCAATTTCTGGAATACCCTTAGCCAAATATGGTTTTAAATGTTCCAGTGAGTTCATAAAACATTTCAGCAGTTCAGGATCATCCCGTCTGCAGGGTTTGATATATTCAGCTGGAAGAAAGGAAAAATAAGATAAATTTTGTAATGTATGGAGAATATTGATTTTTGTGCCTGTTTATGGGCCCGAAAATCTTTAAAAACATATTCGATAATAAGTAAGAAAGTGTCAGTCGGTGTTGCCGATAAGGCGTGGATTTTTGAAGGAATATTTTCCCAAAAGTACATTTTATAAGAATTTTTTCGAGACCTATTAGAGGCGTTACTTTTTCAGAATATTTTTTCGGGGTCTATAAAGTCATGTTTTTTAGGAATATTTTTTTTTGGGGGTCTAATAGAGTCATGAATTTTTTAAATATTTTTTCAGGGTCGATTAGAGGCTTGAATTTTTAAGAATACATTTCAGGGTTTATTAGAAGAGTGAATTTGTTTAAGACGATTTTTTATTTGCAGACATTTCGATTAAATTAAAAAAATATATAGCCAAAAATATTCCTTAAAATCCACGTTTATCGGTCCACAAATTCTTTAAATCAAAAATATTCAATAAAAAATCCACGTTTTATGGGTACAAAATCCACGCTTTTAAGTTTAATAAATTCTTCAAAAAAATATTCAATTAAAATCGACGTCTTATGGATGCACAAATTCTTTAAAAATAAATAAATAATAATAATAGAATAAATTCTTCAAAAATTTATCTTTAAAAATCCGCGCCTTAAGGGGACCTTCTTCAAACAGCGTTTCTGCGAATGGCGTGCACGATAACTCAAAAACTAATAACCCAATCGATTTAAAATTTTGGGACGTTTCTCAGTGAGTGTATAGCTATCGTATGAACTAGGATAAAGCCAATCGATGAAGATCTTTCTTTATTTTTGAACTTAGTTTGTGAACAAAAATAGGCGATTTTCCAAAAAAAAAAAAAAAAAAATCAAAGTTCCGCCATTTTGTTAATTGTTGTGCGATGTCAATAATCCTAGTTCATACGAGATCCAGACATGTACTCTTTCTAACACCGTTGGCATTTTTGGATTCCGATGTTCCAGTGAGGAGTTATCATGGCCGCCATAAAAAATGAGGACTTTTCTTTGATCACAAAAAACAACAACAAAAAGTTTTTGTAAATTGTTTGTCTTCCTTTTAAAATCTGCAAATATATGGGCAATATTGCCAATTTTTTAATATTCCATTTTCAATAAATCAGCTTTATTGTTTTTGTGGCACATTAATGATTTTTGGTACACATATAGAGAAAAATGTTCTGACTCCGGAACCGTTCGCGATGAGCGCAAAAGTTATCGAGGTTATAATTTTGGGCATAAGAAAAAATCCTAAAATTACGCCGTTTGTTATATTGACCAAAAACGTTGATATATATCTTCCTCCGTAAAATAAGAATATGAATATATTATAATAATCGCGAAAAAGTTGCACATCTTCGCGAAATATGAGAAAAATAATAAAAATATAGGAGATTACGTCAATATTTTCATTATATTAATGACATACACACCTAAAAAATAATTTAAAAATATCTACATAATCTAAACACCATGATGAATCAAATGATATCAAAATCACACAAGTCCGTGTAGCGGTTTGTAAATCACAGCGACAACAAAACAAGATTTTGAGGAAAAATATTTGTTTTTGATTCGAAGAAATAATGTCATCATATTTATTTTTTTAATTTTATACAAGAGATTTCAGAAAAAATGTTGGGCTTATTCTTCTATTTTACCCGAATTTCGCCGAAAAATTGCCATATATGAAAATGATCACTTCATGTGTATAAGTATACACCTTGCGGATTGTACCAAGACCCTTTCGATAAATCTTGGGGTTATGTAAGTAGAAATAAATCTTAAAATAAAACTATATTATGAAATATACATTTTAAATTGCGTCTAAATCGCGTAATTATCAAAATCATTTGATGCGCATGCGGTTTCAAGGAAGTACTGAAGTTTATCTTCCAATCCATGTATATTTTGCAAATTTTCATTTGACGGCTAAGATGTGCCACACGTTGCATTGAAGAACCCAAAAAATCGTAAAACGCGAATAATTTCCGAAAACTCCATATGCCATTAACGCGCATCCGATTTCGGTGTGCACCCTAAAAAAATACATCGATCTATACCGATTTCAATGTGGTCCATTAAGAACCATGGATGTGCCAGCTCACACTATTTTTGAGATAAATTGGGTACATCTCTCTTTCGGCTGAAGTTTTTAAAGATCTCTTTTCGAAAAAGATCAAAATCCGTATGAGGTCATTTATTAATGCGGAAATGATCCACAGAAAACGCAAATAAATCCACGATATTTTCAAAAATATTTTTTGCTAAATTTTGTGTGTTTTTGGAAGGCCAGTTCCCGCCGTTCTAGTAGATGGACTTTCACGAAGAAGATTTTATATCATTCGAAACGTAAAAAACCTTATTGATCGCGCGTGCCCAAATCATTCAGTTGACAGATCTAAAAATTTGACTCGAAAAATAGGTTTTTTAGAAATTTGAGCTAGAATTAAAATTAAAAAAAAACACTCAAAATCGAGCTTCAAAATGTCAGCATCATTTAAAGGTAGATGCAGTTAAAATTTTGAAAAATGATACATAAGGGGCGTAGTCCCCATTTTGTTGTCTTCTAGTTTTACTTTGACACGAAGACCGTGAAATGAGTGGCTTAATCACAAATCGATTGAGAACATAAAAAAACTGGTTCGCTTCAACCTGTTTTACACATTTTTTTACATTAAAGTAGACACAGCTTCCACCAAAATAAAGTTTGGAGGTCAATATCATGAACAGTTTGCAACGACAGATCAATTAACCCAAAGCTATTCACTTTTTTCATATACTTAAGTAATTCCCGAGTTATGAAGGGGTGAACCTCCGCTTCAGCTATCTTAAAAAATTGGCAATATTGCCCATATATGTACAAAGTTACAAACCTTAACAAGCATTGGTATTCATTTACCAGCCCATATAAAATCTTAAAACTAAAAAAATCGAGATTGGGTGGGGGGTTCCCTTAAGATCCATAAATTCTTCATTAAAAAATCTACGCCTTATAAGTTCATAAATTCTTCATTAAAAAATCTATAAGTTCATAAATTCTTCAAAAGTATTCCTAAAAAATCCATCCGTTATGTCTGCATAAATTCTTCAAAAAATATTCTTTAAAAATTCACGTCTTATAGATCCATAAAGTCTTCAAAAGTATTCCTTAAAAATCCATCCCTTATGGATGCAAAAATTCTTCAAAAAATATTCTTTAAAAATTCACGCCATATAGACACACAAAACCTTCAAAAATATTCTTTAAAAATTCACGCCGTATGGGTCCACAAATTCTTAATACATTAATCCTTAAATATCCACGCCGTATAGGTTTATAAATCCTACAAAAATTATTCATAAAAATCCACGCCTTTTAGGTTCGAAATCTACACTTATCGCTCTGAAGATCCTGTGAGAATATTTTCAAAAATTTCATTTAAAATATATGAACTTTTGGATACCCCCTCGTAACGCCTTAGTATTCCATAAATATTTTTATTTGTTCAATTTTACTTTCTTCTATTCGATTAGTAGGTATGAAAAGTATTCAATTAGCATCTATATAACCACAATGACTTCGTCTGCTTCTTCGTCGGAAATATCTAACTCAAACAGATAGAAAGTCAAAAGTGTTAAAATAAATACATTTCATTTATTTTGTAAATAAAAATAAAAAATGTTGCAGATTTTAATGAGCACCTCGTTACTTGTTTTCTTTATAGGTTGTAATAATAAAAACAACCTTTTAAAATTAAATAATGATAACTTTTGTTCGACAATATTTAAGTGTTGACACAAATGCATCATTGGCATCACCAATCAGCAGATGAGCCATATCTTTTAGGCCGAAGCAAAAAATTGAAAAAATAAATAAATACAATTTTTGCTAATGAGTTAAGGTCATGCATCATAAAACGTATTTTGCCTTGGGGAAAAATTAGCAAAATATTTTTGGGGGGAATTCTGAATATTGAAAGATGACACAAGAAAAAAGAAATACAATTGTTGAATTTTAAAAATGTGTGTCAGTGGTAAAATTTATGTTTTTGCTAATGGATGTTACGAGAAAAAGAAGAAGATCTAGACAGGTTATTGTAGTTGGTATAAGGTGAGAATAATAATGACATAAGAATTATAACCTGACGAAGATAAGATTTTTAAAAATCTGGTTACCAAAAATTTAAATAGGCATCATTTTTGGTATTATTTCCCCGCCAATTTTACAGTTAGGAAGTAACATAATGTAAATTATAGAATCTACCAATGTTATAATTATTATTCTTTAGCAAATTAACACTTCTCACTTCTGATTATAAATAATAATTATTTATAAATTAGTTCTACATAGATTAAAATGAAATATTAGGTTGTAATATTGCAGAAATAGTAAGTAATTCATAAAAAAATATTCTTGAAAAATCTCAGTACCTATAAGGTGTGAATTTTTAAAAATAAGTTTTGAAGACTTTTCGGACCTATATTTTTGAAGAATTTGTGAAGCCATAAGGCGTGGATTTTTAAAGAATTATTTTCGAAGAAATTTCTGGCCTATAAGGCGTGGATTTTTAAAGAATAATTTTGAAAGAAATTTATGGACCTATAAGGCGTAGATTTTTAAAGAATTATTTTTTAAGAAATTTATGGACCTATAAGGCGTGGATTTTTAAAGAATATTTTTTGAAGAAATTTATGGACCTATAAGGCGTGGATTTTTAAAGAATAATTTTTGAAGAAATTTATGGACCTATAAGGCGTGGATTTTTAAAGAATATTTTTTTAAGAAATTTCTGGTCTATAAGTCGTGGATTTTTAAAGAATATTTTTTTAAGAAATTTCTGGTCTACAAGGCGTGGATTTTTAAAGAATATTTTTTTAAGAAATTTCTGGTCTACAAGGCGTGGATTTTTAAAGAATTATTTTTTAAGAAATTTCTGGTCTACAAGGCGTGGATTTTTAAAGAATTATTTTTTAAGAAATTTCTGGTCTATAAGTCGTGGATTTTTAAAAGCATATTTTTTCCAGGCCTATATAAGTCGTGGATTTTTAAAAGAATATTTTTTTAAGAAATTTCTGGTCTATAAGGCGTGGATTTTTAAAGAATATTTTTTTAAGAAATTTCTGGTCTATAAGGCGTGGATTTTTAAAGAATTATTTTTTAGGAAATTTCTGGTCTATAAGTCGTGGATTTTTAAAGAATATTTTTTTAAGAAATTTCTGGTCTATAAGGCGTGGATTTTTAAAGAATATTTTTTTAAGAAATTTCTGGTCTATAAGGCGTGGATTTTTAAAGAATATTTTTTTAAGAAATTTTTGGTCTATAAGTCGTGGATTTTTAAAGAATATTTTTTTAAGAAATTTCTGGTCTATAAGGCGTGGATTTTTAAAGAATTATTTTCTCCATGGACTACCACAAACATTGGCGTGGATTTTTAAAGAATTATTTTTTAAGAAATTTCTGGTCTATAAGGCGTGGATTTTTAAAGAATATTTTTTTTAAGAAATTTCTGGTCTACAAGGCGTGGATTTTTAAAGAATATTTTTTTAAGAAATTTCTGGTCTACAAGGCGTGGATTTTTAAAGAATTATTTTTTAAGAAATTTCTGGTCTACAAGGCGTGGATTTTTAAAGAATTATTTTTTAAGAAATTTCTGGTCTATAAGTCGTGGATTTTTAAAGAATTATTTTTTAGGAAATTTCTGGTCTATAAGTCGTGGATTTTTAAAGAATATTTTTTTAAGAAATTTCTGGTCTATAAGGCGTGGATTATTAAAGAATATTTTTTTAAGAAATTTCTGGTCTATAAGGCGTGGATTATTAAAGAATATTTTTTTAAGAAATTTCTGGTCTATAAGTCGTGGATTATTAAAGAATATTTTTTTAAGAAATTTCTGGTCTATAAGTCGTGGATTTTTAAAGAATTATTTTTTAAGAAATTTCTGGTCTATAAGGCGTGGATTTTTAAAGAATAATTTTTGAAGAAATTTATAGACCTATAAGGCGTGGATTTTTAAAGAATAATTTTTGAAGAAATTTATGGACCTATAAGGCGTGGATTTTTAAAGAATAATTTTTGAAGAAATTTATAGACCTATAAGTCGTGGATTTTTAAAGAATAATTTTTGAAGAAATTTATGGACCTATAAGGCGTGGATTTTTAAAGAATAATTTTTGAAGAAATTTATAGACCTATAAGGCGTGGATTTTTAAAGAATTATTTTTTAAGAAATTTCTGGTCTATAAGGCGTGAATTTTTAAAGAATTATTTTTTAAGAAATTTCTGGTCTATAAGGCGTGGATTTTTAAAGAAATTTCTGGTCTATAAGGCGTGGATTTTTAAAGAATTATTTTTTAAGAAATTTCTGGTCTATAAGGCGTGGATTTTTAAAGAATTATTTTTTAAGAAATTTCTGGTCTATAAGGCGTGGATTTTTAAAGAAATTTCTGGTCTATAAGGCGTGGATTTTTAAAGAATTATTTTTTAAGAAATTTCTGGTCTATAAGGCGTGGATTTTTAAAGAATTATTTTTTAAGAAATTTCTGGTCTATAAGGCGTGGATTTTTAAAGAATTATTTTTTAAGAAATTTCTGGTCTATAAGGCGTGGATTTTTAAAGAATTATTTTTATGAAATTTCTTTCAAAATAATACATTCCACCCTAATATATTCAATGTACATTTGAAATTGTAAATCACAGATTTTTTTTTAAATTTTATTTATTTTTTTCTCCCTCTCAAATCGCACCTCATTTTACTATGCGGAAGTATTTTGTTCGTCACACTTTTTTGGTCCAAAACAAATACAAGTTTTTGAGATAATTAATTAGCGGCAGACCACTACGCAGATCATCGATTTTTTTTTATAATCAATCGAGACATTGGGCAGACGTCAGACATATCTGATTCACACAGCAAATGCATATATAAATGCTTTTTGATTTTATTTCTTTTGTTTTGGATTTGATTTTGTTTTTGCTTTTCCACTTTTATTAATTTTTTATCTGTTACTACTTCGTACCTTATTTTGTTAACGTTTATATAGTAAACAGCCAAAAGGCAATATAGAAAGATAAATACCTAATGGGCAAACTGACTTCATAACGTAAAGAAAACAACAATTATAACACAGTTCAAAGTCGCTTTTGGCCAGAAGACAAAGTCAAGGTCAAGTTCGTCGAAAACACAAAAAAAAAGATGCGGATGTAAAGCAAAAATGTATGTATGTTTAGTTGTTGTAGATACATAAATGATATTGTTGCCGGCCGGCCCTACTGCAGGTGTAGTGCCATTATGAATGGAATTTTTTATTTAATTTGTGAATTGATTTAAGCATCAATTTAAGCAAACCGGTAGGTCAGTCAATCCGTCGTAGGGTAAATAATAAAAAAAAACAAAAATATGAAGATATTCCGCTATTTTGCAAATTAATTTTTTTGACTATGCATTTAAATTTCAAAATGTTGTTGCATACGGAAATGATCTTATATTTGAAATAAAAGTTAATTATTTTAGACCATGACAATGTACCGAGACCTAGACCAAATATTAAAATTAATTAACTTGGTTGCATTTTGAAATATTAGTGATCGGAGGTTATCGGATTAAACGAGGATTTTATTAGAATATTTTTTAGGACCCATTAGGCGTGGATTTTTATTTACAACTATGTTGTCAGGGTATTATAGCTTTGTGCAGGCCCAAGAGTTTGTAACGCCACGAAACATTGGTCCTAGACCCACCTTTAAGTATACCGATCGTCATATCTCGACTAGCTGAGTCGATCTAGACATGTGTGTCCGTCCGTCTGCCCGTCTGTCTTCACGAAATTTTGCATATAGAATGGGTTCTGCCCAATGAAGACCCCCATTGTTTTTGGTAAAGATCGGTTAATATTAAGAGGATGAAATGGACCAAAAACTTTATTTTTCTTTGATTTTCTGGTCCCTCCTGGGGCTGCAATTATGGTCCAAACATCGCGAAATTTTACATGGAGAAGGGGATCGGGCCGAAGAATAAGCATGCCTGTTTTGATAAAGATCGGTCACTATTTAGCGGGTGAAATGAACCCTGACATTTGCCCTGAACCCTGACATAGCGTATATGTTTATCCCTTAATGGCCTAGACACGAGAAGTTGATAGTAGGACAACGCCTAAAATGTTAGGTGATGATCAGATATCATTTTTTCGGATGAAGTTGACCGAAAACTTAATTTTTGTACTTTTCGAGTCGAAAGCCGAACATCTCAGGGGCTGTACTGATTATTAGTAACATTTTCTGACCTCTAGCCAGTCAAAAGTGTGCAAATATCGCGAAATATTGTCCAATCTCAGAATATAGAACCACAGAAAGTTAGATTTTCATGGAAGTTGTGTAGGGTATCATATGGTCGGCCGCGTCCGACTATACTGCTCCGCTAACTGGTTAAATAAATATTTTTAAGGATATATCGATCCATAAAGCAAGGGTTTTGAAGAATATTTTTGGAAGAAATTTCAGACCCATAAGGCGTGGGTTTTTAAAGAATATTTATGCAGTCAAAGGCGTGGATTTTCAATGAATATTCTTTGAAGAATTTGTCGAACCATAAAGAATATTTTTTGAAGAATTTGTCGAACCATAAAGAATATTTTTTGAAGAATTTGTCGAACCATAAAGAATATTTTTTGAAGAATTTGTCGAACCATAAAGAATATTTTTTGAAGAATTTGTCGAACCATAAAGAATATTTTTTGAAGAATTTATGCAGCCTCAAGGCGTGGATTTTTATAGAATATTTTTTGAAGAATGTATGCCCACATAAGGCGTAAATTTTTAAAGAATTTATGCAGCCATAAGGCTTGGATTTTTAAAGAATATTTTGGAAGATTTTCTGCAGCCATAAGGCGTTGATTTTTAAAGAATATTTGTTGAAGAATTTATGCAGCCGTAAGGCGTGGATTTTTAAAGCATATTTTTTGAAGAATTTATACAGCCATAAGGCGTGGATTTTTAAAGAATGTTATTTTGAAGAATTTATGCAGCCATAAGGCGTGGATTTTTAAAGAATATTTTTTGAAGAATTTTCAGATCCATAAGCCATGGATTTTTTAAAAAATATTTTTTATGGCGTGGATTTAAAAAAATCCAAGCATGGATTTTTTAAAAAATATTTTTTGGAGAACTTATTGAACCCAAAAGGCGTGGGTTTTTAAATATTTTTGAAGAAATTTATTACTTATAAGCGTGAATATAATTATAAACGTATGAACGAAATTTCATTGTATTTCAAAATTCTCAAACAAGGTGATTATAAAAAATAAAACCCTTTAAAAATATATTTTTTAGGTGATCGTGACTAATTAATATTTTTTTCAAAGCAGCCTTATTAATACAAAAATAAATTGAAGTGTGCTTTAATATTTTTTAAATTTTTTTAACAACATTTCCATTATTTTCAAGTCAAACAAAACTTACGAATTTCACCAGCTTCCTGGGCCAAGATCACTTGGAATGCAACTAAACACAAAGCAATTTTCCACATTTTAATATTATTTTTTTAAAATATATTTTTAATTTTTTTATTTATTTGAAAATATTAATATTGTGAATTTTCTTAAAGATCACAAATATCACAGTTATTTAATCCTTTTTCTTGTTTTTTATTTTCTTTTTCCAATTTTTTTGCCCGTTATTTTCCGATATTAACAACCGTTCGCATTGAGCCGAGATTCAGATCTGTCTTCGACGTTCAACATTGCCTCATATTTAAAACCTAAAAAAATATTAGCAGCCACAACAAAATCCAGCAACAGTAATTATGGCCGAAAGCTCTGATATTGTTTTGGGGTAACAACAAAGCTGAGCGATGAGCTTTGGTTTTTTGTTGGTTGGTCCAGCAACAAAAGTGAATATACAATGGTACATATATAAAATTCACATAGCTGAAGATAATTCAGCAAAAAGGGGATTTTTTGTTTGTTTATTTGTCTTTTGGCGTATAAGAGAGACTTTGTTAATTTTTTCCTTTACAGAAATGTTTCAAAAGAATTTTTGTAAACATTTTATGCGTGGATTTTTAAAGAATAGTTTTCCTTATATGTAGAATAGTTTCAGAAGAATTTACGGATCTATAAAGCGTGGATTTTTAAAAAATAATTTCAGAAGAATTTATGGATCTATAAGACGTGGATTTTTAAAAAATAGTTTTTCAAGAATTTATGGACCATTAAGGCGTTTATTTTTAAAGAAAAGTATAACAACATTTATGGATCTGTAAGGCGTGGATTTTTAATGAATAGTTTATCAAGAACTTGAGCACATATTAGGCGTTGATTTGTATACCCTACACAACTATGTTGTCAGGGTATAGCTTTGTGCAGCCCCAAATGTTTGTAACGCCGCGAAATATTGGTCCTAGACTCACCTTTAAGTGTACCGATCGTCATATCTCGGCTAGCTGAGTCGATCTAGACATGTGTGTCCGTCCGTCTGTCCATTATAATTTGTAAACACGATACCGGTCACAGTTATGGACCAATCTTCACGAAATTTTGCATTTAGGATGGGTTCTGGCTAATTAAGACCCCTATTGTTCTTAGAAAAGATCGGTTAATATTTAGGGGATGAAATGGACCAAAAACTTTATTTTTGATGGTTTTTCTGGTCGCTCTAGAGGCCGCAATTATGGCCCAAACACCGCAAATTTTTGCATGAAGAAGGGCATCGGGCCAAAAAATAAACATGCCTGTTTTGATAAAGATCAGTCATTATTTATCGGGTCAAATGAACCCTGACTTTTGTGTGAAAAATGACAAAATTTGTACTCTATAGCGTATATATTTACCCCTGAAGGACATAGACCCGAGAAGATGATAGCATATCCAAGAGGATTAGTTGACCTTTAAATTGATATCAATTATATGGTCGTATGTACTCAGATGTGGGAGTTACACTTAAATATTTACAGGTGATTACGTACTGAGATATTATTTAGTAACCCATTGCCACACAAGAGGGCGGAAATATAGCGCTGATCGCTTTGAAATTTTCCATGAGGGTCCAGGTATGGTCAAGGACAATGCCTATAATTTTCGGTGATGATCAGATAATAATATTGGACCGAAAACTTATTTTTTTTTTCGAGTCTATCTATGGGCCACAATTGAAAGCCGAACATCACAACAAAACCCATGGTGAAGGTAATCTGGACAAGTAATTGTAAGGGATTTACTGAATATCAGTAATACTTGATGATCTCTAGTCGGTCACGAGGGTGCAAATATCGCGAAATATTTTGTATGTTTAGAATATAGAACCACAGAAAGATAGATTTTCGTGGAAGTTGTGTAGGGTATCATATGGTCGGCCCCGTCCGACTATACTGCTCCGCACACTGGTTTAATAATAGTTTCAGAAGAATTTATGGTTCTATATGGAGTGGATTTTTTTAATAGTTTCATAAGAATTTATGGACCTATAGGACGTGTTTTTTAAATAGTTTCAGAAGGATTTATAAATCTATAAGAAGTTGATTTTTTTAGAAAAGTTTCAGTAGGACCTATCAATTAAATAATCTCCGATTACTGTAATTGATATTTGTCTGGAGTCAATTTGAAAACTAACAACCCTTCATCGCAATATCATTTTAATTGTATACTTCGGTTCAGTCACCTTTTATTTGTTACGGACATGATGTGTTCCCGTGTTTATAAATTGTTGTACTTTTCATTGGTCGCCGTTTGAAAAGGGCTTTATTAATACTATAAATTAAAATGTATACAGACTTTTTAATTATTTAATGGGATTGTATTTAACAATAGACGTAAACTAAATCAAACACAATATATCGATTACAGATATCAGACAAAGTTCAATATTGTTCCAACGATTAAATTTAATGTAATGATTCATCCCAAATCTGCGATAAAAACAAAGATACAACTGTAATCTAAAAAGTTCTATCGAAATGACTAATAACTATTAATGTAAATAAAATCAATCGATTATTTTTAAAGAATATTTTGAGAGGAATTTATGAACTTTAGGTTCATAGGGCAAGGATTTTTAAGAATATTTTTTAGGGGTATAGGGATCTATAAGACGTGGATTTTCCAGAATTAATGAACCTATAAGGAGTGGATTTTTCAATAATTTATACACCAATGAGGCGTGGTTTTCTAAAGAAGGAGGAGAAATTTATAGACTTATAAATTGTGGATTTTTCAAGAATTTTTGGGCCTATATTATTATAAAGAACTTCTTAAGATTTTAACTTAGCACTGAGGTGATGGGTGACAAAATCGCCGAGTTTCTACAAAAATTCTGGGAAGAAACCTTGGTTAAGCTGATATCTAATGCTATATTTCCAGGTCTAAAAATTGATGAATTTACTAATGAACAAATGAAAATGGTTATAAATGATGTATGAGCAGGATCATGAGAAAGGAATTTGGCCGACAGATGTCCTTTTCAAGAATATTTTGTGAGGAGTTTATGATTTTTCAAGATATTATGGACCAATAAGGAGTGGCTTTTTAGAAATATTTTGTGAGTAGTTTATGGACATAAAAGGCGTCGAATTTCAAGGAATATTTTGTGGATTTTTAAGAATATTTTGTGAGGAATTTATGAAGCTATAAGAATTTATGCACCAATAAGGCGTGGATTTTTAAAGAAGGAGGATTAATTTATAGACCTATGATTTTTCAAGACTTTATGGACCAATAAGGAGTGGGTTTTTAAAAATATATAATGAGGAGTTTATTGGCATAAAAGGTGTGGAATTTCAAAGAATATTTTTTGAGGAGTTTATGATTTTTCATGATAATGGACCAATAAGGAGTGGATTTTTTAAAATATTTGTAAGTAGTTTATGGAAATAAAATGCGTGGATTTTTAAAGAATATTTTATGAGGTATTTATGAACCTATAAGGCGTTGGTTTTTCAAGAATTTATGGACCAATAAGGCGTGGTTTTTTTAAAATTATTTTATGAAGAATTTATGAACCAATGAGGAGTGGATTTTTCAAGAATATATGCACCAAATAAAGCTTGGATTTTTAAAAAAAGAAGGAACAATTTGTGCACCTATGAGGTATGGATGAAGGAAGACGTACATTTATCAAGATTTTTTTGGGCCTATTAGGTATGTATTTTTCAAGAATATTTTGTGAGAAGTTTATGATTTTTCAAGACTTTTTGGACCAATAAGAAGTGGATTTTTAAAAGTATATAATGAGGAGTTTATGGGCATAAAAGGCGTGATATTTCAAAGAATATTTTGTGAGGAATTTATGAATCTATAAGGCATGGCTTTTTCAAGTATTTATGTACCAGTAAGGCGTGATTTTTTTATATTGTGAGGAATTTATGGACCAATAGATTGAGGATTTTTCAAAAATGTATGGGCCTATAGAGGCGTGAATTTTTCAAGAATTTGGCTTGATTTTTACTGTCTTCTTTCAATTATGATTTTAATAATAACAGTTTAATGTTAATAGTTCACTTAGGGTTTATATTGGCATATAAAAAACACATGTATGCAAAATTTCAGACGTATAAAAAATATATTTTACTTTTCGATAAAAATTTCTTATTCCCACAACTCTATAAGTTATGAGGGTATATATATACATTTTGCGATAAAATTGTGCCTAACCGAAATATCGATCCCCAAATTTATTTGCGACAATTTGGAGTCGATTTACAAATGACCGCCTGTTCATACCTCTGGCTGACTGACTGTAATTTGGATAATGTCTTAAACTCGTATGAAGTGAAATGGATTAGCGTTGTTTAAAACTTGTAAATATTATATGGGTAGTGTGGAGTATCTGATTTTGTAAAAATATAAACCGAAGCATGCCATATAAAATATCGAATTTATAGGAAAATATAGGATTAGTGTATAGTATGTTATAGGCTGAGGTAACACGGACCATAAAGTTGATTCAGGAAGCTCATACAAATTTTCACCTCACCAATAACGCGTATTTTACATATTGAAGACACCATTGAATCAAGAATGTCTTCAAATGATCCATCCATCGATTAAATCTATAGATTTTAATCATGAATTCGCTTTATCTTATAAGGATGCAAACAAAGATTCTTACGTAAAATTCGACATAAGGCGGCCTGGAATACGCCAAACAGCAACGATATTCACGACACTTCGGTCAAACCAATATCACACAGCGGATATGCAAATTTGTGCACTGAAAATAATATTGCCTTTAACTGCGGAGAAAATTGTGACGTCTTTCAACCGAGTTGACTCTGGATTTATTTATATTTTAGGTTCTCATTTTAGGTTCTTATTGGGTGTCAAATCAGAGGACAATCTTTGAATTTCATTTTTTGATGGTTTTATATACAAATGAACACTCTAAATAAACAATTAAGATCTACAATCCAAAATTCGAGTATTTTTTATCAATAATTATTAAAAACTACATTCCAACCTATTGGGGAAAATAAAAATGGGATTATTATAAAAATATAAAATTTGTGAACCTTGATTATTTTAAATTTAGAATTTTAAATACGCAAA